TACCATTCATCAAATTAGTTCCCATTTTTGTTAATTGCTTAGATAATTCTTTTACTGTCACATTATTTGAGCTTGCATTATCAACTGTGAAAGTGAAGATCTTATTTATCCCCCACTCACATAAGCACCTACCAGTACCGTTTGCCATATCTTCGCCTTTATGACTAATAATAGGACAAAAATTAATTATTCTTTTATGCATATTCCATTCACTATCAATCCAATGGGCAGTAATACACATGTAATTGATTCTTTGTATAGAAGTCCAGGTATCAGTGGTAATGCATACTCTTTGTTTTATTTCTATAAAAAACCTCTTCAACTTTTGCTTTTCTTCATTAAAAAGATCAAAACAATCCCTAGTTACAGTACTACGGGAAGGGATCCGAAAATACGGTTGCGCCACTTTCATAAAGTCTCTAAAACCTTCTTTCTCAACAAAGCTAAAAGGAAGCTCATCAACTATTACCATACGACATAATGTCTTCCTACATTGTTCTTGTTCAAATTTTCAAGTAACAACAGCTACGTCACCCTGACTATCCCCCGGAGCAGATTGAAAGCCTAAATTTGATTGTTTTTTACCAACAATAGTAGGGCGTTTAGGACACTTAAGCATATGAGAAAGAAGTGTCGACATACCGTCTTTGGTCTTAAATACATACTCAATAAAGCAATAGTCACATTTTGCTTTTGTACTCCCTTTAGAAGTAATAATTTCTGTAAAATGATCCCACACAACAAACCTTTTTCTCCTTTTTTTAGTTATATTTGGCTCCGTTGTTTGAGCTTGACTTGTTGCATTTGAATTAGAAGCCCCACTTTCACCCATCATCACCTTATCACTTTGTATATTTTCAGCCATGTATGAGTCACTGCAACAAGAAAAGAAAAGGAATGAGAATAAAGACACGATAATCTGATATGAATTATATAAATTACTTCACAAACAGGAAAATTTCAAAATTGTATAGGCTTCTCGTTATTGTGTAAAAACTGTTTTATTAATTTTAGATTAAACCTAAAGTTAACCAAACTGAAGTTATTACCTGCTAAAGTTAAACCAAACTGAAGTTGTAAACATCCTAGTAATTTAATAACCAAATACGATTAATTTGCACAGTACAAAACATAAGAACAGAGAAATGAAGACGAAAAAGAAAACCCTAAAATTATCTAAATCAACAACAACTTCTTCAACTACTTGAGTTGCCTCATATTGCACCTCTACTGTAGTTGAAATTTGTGAGAGGGAGAGACGAGATGGCGAGAGGGAAACCGGTGGCTGGTGGAAGTCGACGACGACGAGGACTGTTGGCCGGTGGGCGGCGGCTACTGGTTTAGGCGTTAGGGTTTCTCTGGAATTAGGATTTTAGGAATAAATGGTTTTGTTACTTTGTTTAGAGACAGAACAGAACAGATGACCTTTTTGTTTTTGTTAATCATTTTTAAGGGTTTTAGTTTTTTTATATTTAATATATATAAATAAAAATAAATTATATATATATATATATTCTTAACGGGTTAACGAATTATCCGTTAAGAAAATTGAATAATCCACCCCCAAATCGATAAGCCATTAATAAAAAAAATTCAATCTGTTCCCCATCCGTTAAGCCGTTAAGCCGTTACCAGTAAGCCATTAAGCTTCGGTTCGATCGGTTTTCGGTTTCGGATCGATTTTGAACACCCATATGTCTGGTAGTATGTAATAGAAGTTAAGCAATATGATATGCTGTTCGACACTGCTATCCACAAAAATAACCAATCATAATCACAATATTTTGTCAACATAGCTAGTAATTTGACAAAGAAAGTCGGAATTTATCATCTAACAATAGAGTTAAACTATGATGTCCATATACAACTAGACACACACATGACAAACAAGTTCATAAAATAAAATTTCGTACCACTGTCAGTATCCACAAAAAACAGATACCCCATGAATTCAACTAATACAACCACCTCACGAATTCAACAAAAAAGAAGTCTAGTATATTAAATACTACATCAAATCAGTAAGGAAATTCAAGTGGTCTTCTTGGAGGGAGATTTTTCCATAACCTTAGATCTTGTTTGTATTCCACCGGATTGGGATCTTGTCTTGATTCTAACCATTGCAACTTGGACTTGAAGTTGTCTTTGAGTCACATCTTCCTTCCCTTTCCATTTCAAACCTTTAGAAGGCCTATATCCAATATCACTAATAACATGGGTAGAATCAATTAAAGGGCCAGCATAAACCTTTCTGGCTGTAGGCAAACTATGCTGGTAACATTCAAACCAAAAGATACATTTCAAAGTTAGACAATAACATCATATAGTAAGTTAGACAATAAAATGTAAGGACAAAAAAATACACTTACATTAATACTTGTAAAATCAGATTGTGCAACAAATACACCATGTACTTGAAGCCTAGGCCTCTTGTAGTGGCTTCTTGTAGATGCCTTACTTGTAGGTGCCTTACTTGTAGATGCATTGTCAGATTCCTTTCTGCCTCTCTTTTGTGAAGTTTTTGTTGTTGATTATTGTGAGCAATTAGTAGTCTATTATATGAGAAAATGACGAATTAACTCTTAAATAACTAAGAAGATAGTAATAAAGGAAGAAGGTAGGAAGGTACCTCTTGATTAGTTGTTGGACAACTCCTCATATTACGAGTACTTGCTTTGCAAATAGAGCATGTCATAGTTATTCCCTTCTTTGATAATTTTCCAGCCCTTTTTATTTCTCCAACTTCCTTTCTTCTATTTTTTCTTGGCCTTCCAGGCATATTTTGAATTGGAGGAGGTAATACCTTGGGGTTACTACTTTCTGGCTACATTATCATGTTAGAAACTGGTTGTATGAAGTGAGAATATACTTTTATGTAGGTCTCTTTCCTGTACCAGTGTACAATATTCTCTGAAGGATCAAGTCTCTTGAAGTGCATTGCTCTTATAGCACGTGAACATGGAATGCCTTTCAGTTCCCAAGACCTGCAACTGCAGTAACCTGTTCTTAAATATACAATGAATTTGCATGGACCATCTTGAGTTCAAATCCAGTATCTCCATTAAACATGAAGTCAACCCTCATTGACCTCTCAACATTAGTATTGAACACCATCATGGCCATTAGAGATACACCATCTTGCCAAGTTTCAGCAAATTCTCTCATCTTTGCTACACTACTCATAACTTTGGCCCTTATTTCCTCTAGCATTGATATGATTGTCTTGTGTCTAAGGCCCAATATTCAAGCATTGAAACTTTCACACATGTTCTTGTCAACACTGTCACACTTGGAGAATGTTTGGAAGAATGTTTTGCACCATCTTTCTTTGTTGTATTTAACTAGGTTTTCGCACTCAACCATTTGAACCAACTTCCACTTCCATGTGGCAGGTTAGGGGTAATAAAATCCAAAAAAGTAAGTATAGGGGTAATTACAATCACGTATAATTAAGGTGTACACTCATTAAAAAGTGTCAAGTTTAGGAGGATTTTTACCTATTCAAAGCAGAAATTCTTTTTAATACTGCTCAATTCTCAAAAAATATTTAATAGGGGTAACTTAATAAATTGTATTTATTATTTTTTAATAGATGTGAAAAGAGTTAAACCAACCGTTAAAATGGGACAGAGAACGTATTAATTGAGCTGCCTTAAGGGCTGATTTAGCAAATATCCCCTTTTAGGTCATTATTTAAATTTTGTCCCTATTTTAAAAAATAATATAAATATAGCCCTTTGGAAAATATTCTTTCGGATAACGTTAGAAGGTCTAAATTTGCTCATATAACATTTATTTTGCCACAAGACATAAGACTACTCTCCGGTCCAAAATAAGTGATTTTTTAGCTGTTTTCACACAGATTAAGAAATTCATATTTTAACATTAATTAGCAATGAAATTGATCATATTAACCTTTACTATCTCTTTACATAAATGCTACTAACAGATAATCCAATAATATTTACTCCAAGGGCAATGTAGGAAACAAATAATTAATTTTTAAAATCTGAAAAAATTACTTATTTTGAATCACAAAATAAAGACCAAAAAATCACTTATTTTGAACCGGAGGGAATATGATCTAACTTTTCTCAATTTTTTTTTTAACTTTTTGACTGTACTTTAGCAAGTCCATCAATTGCAAGAAAAATTAAAAAAAGAATCATTTACTACGAAACAAAATGAGGCTTGCATGGTTTAGAGTTTTGATTAAACCATGTAATGTCAAGAAAAAATTTAAGTCAAAGTGATGACTAAAAGACAAAGTTAAGTCGCCAGTAACAACAATGGCCGTTGCGTAGGAAAAGCATAGCAGCAGCCCTGCCCATTTCGCTATTCCCAAGATTCCCTCTTCCTTTGCAAAATGAAAACCCACATCTGATCCTTCTTTTTCATTTATTTATTTAAAACCCCCTAAAACCCCATTTATTATATAGTACCCATTTCTCTCTCTCTTTTAACTTCTGTATTGACTATTGCTGTGTGATCTTTCTTTCTTCTAGGAGAACCAATCTCCTATAGCCCTTTTAGTTTCAGCTTTCAAGTTTTAATTTTTTTCTTTGTCAACTTACACATGGGGGATCACGGAAAGATCAAATCGGACATTTCATTTGCTGGAACTTTTGCTAGTAGCGCCTTTGCTGCTTGTTTTGCTGAGGTATATTTCAGATTTCAGTAATCCAAATGCTGATTTTGCTATTTTTCTTCAATTTGGTTTTGTGCAGATGCATTAGAGAATGAACAAGTTAGTTTCTTTCTTGCTTTTTTTTTTTTGCTTCTCTCTTTTTGGGCTACTTGGGTTTCTTGAATCTTTGTTATATATGCTGCAAAGATTGAAACTTTTGACTAGACATAGGCTGTTTCTTTTTCGGGTGGGGTTGGGGTTTGGGGGGGGGATTGCCTTGCTATAATGATCCCCATTGAGGGCCTAAGGGCTTTGTTCTAGTGGTAAGAGCGCGACTTGTGATGTGTGGTTTAGGCATACTTCAGGAGTTAGAACCCTGCTTCTAACAAAAGCATGGTATTTAAGTGAAAAAGGTGGAAGGGCGGCCGTTATCCACCGAGTTTCGAACCGTATGCCGCTGGCCTGTGAGATTTCTCAATTGTAGAAATAAAATGAAAGATCCCCATTGAGCTGTTAAGTTTCATAGCTTATAACTGTTGAATCCTTTACTGGGTTACTTTGATGGACAACTTAGTATTGTTTTAACTTCCTGTTGCTGTCTTTCTAAAGAGCAAGGTGGGAAGTTCTTGGAGGGAAGGATGCCGGGGGTCTATTTGGAAACAGTCTCTCTACCCTAGGTTAGGGGTAAGGTCTGCGTACACACTACCCTCCCCAGACCCCACTAAGTGGGATTATACTGGGTTGTTGTTGTTGTTTTGTTGTTGTTGCTGTCTTTCTAAAGAAGTATAGCTATATCTGTATTAAGAATAAGCTGGTTCAGCATACTGAGATTTATTTGATCTGTCTTCATTTAAGAGATCTATGATCACCTTTACAGTTTACATAGCATTTGTTAGAAAGGAAAAGGGAACGCCACATGACCTTGAGACACAGTTATGGTGGTACAAAAGCAATTTATATTCATCTTCGTTGCAATAAAAAAATCATTTATCGATGAAGTGGGAGGATAACCATAGAATCGCTGGTTCAAATCCTAGCAGAGGCAAGAAAGATAGGTGGCCTAAGCTTTGGTGGGTAGAGTTACCTTGGAAGTAGCAGGTACCCAGTGGAATGGTCGAGGTCTGCAAGTTGCCCCCGCCACCATCTTTATAAAAGAACATATTGGCCTTCATCACGTAAATAGTTTGGAATAACCATGTCTTGCTTAATTTTGAAGGGAATTGGGTGTTATTGCTTTTTATGAAGCTATAAAAGTAGGTTATACCATGTTTCCTTGCTGCCTTAAAATTCTCTGAAGAACAGTTGGCCATGATAATGTTTTTGCAAAGAATCATGTATTGCTTAAGGTTGTGGGAAATAAGGTTTGTTAAGTTTTGTTGCCATTTATTTGGTTATCCGGCATATATGGTGTAGACATGTGGTATATTGCTCTCGAAGTGTGCATGCTATTGTTTCTGTTAATGATTCCTTCACCGCTTGTAAATCGTGTTTGCTTCATGCAAAATTCTGTGCTCCAGGTGTGTACTTTACCGTTGGATACTGCTAAAGTGAGGCTTCAGCTTCAAAAGAAGGCAGTTGAAGGTGATTTAGCTTTACCGAAATATAGGGGATTGTTAGGTACTGTTGGCACCATTGCAAGGGAAGAAGGAGTAGCTTCATTATGGAAGGGTATTGTACCTGGGTTACATCGTCAATGTTTATTTGGAGGTCTTCGGATTGGGATGTATGAACCTGTAAGTTATCATTTTTAGCTTACAACTGCCACAAGTTTGGTTTTTGGCCTTTTATAGACCTGTTTGCTTGGCAAGCAGGTTAAAAACTTCTATGTTGGCAAAGATCACGTTGGGGATGTGCCATTGTCAAAGAAAGTTCTTGCTGCACTAACAACTGGTGAGTGACTTTAAAATGCTGCGTTTATTAACAATTTGCCTCAAGAGTTTAGAAAAGTGTAGGTTTAATTTCCATTTAGAAAACATCCGGACAGGGACTAGAAGTTCAACGTTTGGATTATTAATAGCATACCTTCTGTTTTTCCTTGTATTGGCCTTTTTACTGTTTGTTCTTTCAACATATTTAAAGTAATTTGGTGATTCTTTATCATGTAGGTGCATTGGGCATTACAATTGCAAATCCTACCGATCTAGTTAAAGTACGTCTTCAAGCTGAAGGAAAATTGCCAGCAGGTGTGCCAAGGCGTTACTCTGGAGCTCTAAATGCATACTCAACAATAGTGAGACAGGTATATGTCTTATCCAGCTCAGTTCTTTACTAAATCGTAAAATTGATGATAGGCAGGGCTGCAAAATTGAGTATACCTCCTTTGATCATGAGTTGGAAGTTATTTTTCCTTTGAATCGAAATTAGGTGCTACTTAAGCGATTAAATACTTGTTACTATTCAAAGTCCACAATCTCTCCAATCAAGTGGCACACGGGAAAAAAAAGAAAAGAAAGAAAAGTGGGCAAGTGACCTACAAAAACATGTGCCTTAAGGTACTAACATTTAGAAATTATTATGTCCCCAGAGTTGAAGGCAACATTTCTTAAAGATTCTTTTTGTTCGTTATTTCCTTTACATGCCGTAGCATTATTATTAGTCTCGTATTTTCATACCTTCATATCTGTAGATTTCTTTTACTATTATGTCGGTTCTTTCCCTTCGATTGTTCTATCACCTTATCACCTTATCTTGTTGTTGTTACTACTTATTGTGTCCGCTTCTTTTTCACTTTTACCTTGAGTCGGGAGTCTATCGCAAACAATCTCTTTACCTTCAAAAAGTAGGGGTAAGGTCTGTGTACACTCTACCCTCCTCAGGCCCCCACTTTGTGGGATTACACTGGGTATGCTGTTGTTGTCTTTTGTTCGATGTTCTTCTGTAACTGATTCTTTTGTGACTCTCTCCTCCTCCATCTAACTTTTTTGAATTCTGTTATCCTCTTCAGTATTTGGAGAAAAAGGGTAGTACTTTTCTTCTCGATGTAGTTTCCATTCTCCTGGAAATGTTATACATGCTTGGGAAATTATGAAAATTTCCATTTCCTGAAATTTAATCAAATCCCCAGCATTCCAGCTTACGTAGTATTTGTAAAATAATGAATGTTGAACAGGTTTTGCAAGTGAAATTTGAGGCAACTCTTTGCTGATTCATAGTTTTCCTCACGAAAAGGACTTCTATTTTAACTCTTATCTTAACCTCTTCAAATTTTATTTCTACCACATCTTGATCTTAGGAAGGAATTGCAAAGCTGTGGACTGGTCTTGGACCCAATATTGGGCGGAATGCCATCATTAATGCAGCTGAATTAGCAAGTTATGATCAAGTGAAGCAGGTAGAGAGACCATAAATTTCTTATTACAAACCTCATTTCCTGACTGTCTAATGTGGTTTCTTTCTTGGATCTAGATTTTACATTATCATTGTTCTTACTTTAGCTCTTTAAAATGCAGACCATTCTCAAGATTCCTGGGTTCACAGACAATGTTGTTACTCACTTGTTCGCTGGCCTTGGAGCTGGTCTTTTTGCAGTTTGCATAGGGTCCCCTGTTGATGTGGTATCTTCTATATTCTTTGTTCTTTACACACTTGCTTTTCCTTTTAGGTCTTTTCGGATGGCAACCCATGATCCAGTAATTTGTTTGTTAATATTTTAGATCTTCTTGGCCAAATAGGGAAAAGGAGACTCGTATAGTCATCTTTTTAATGAAGGAAATTAGCAAAGTCAATATCTAGCCTGTTAGACAGATGCCTCCATCTTGTGAATCTGAAGTCCTCTGCTATACAATCGTAAGCAAAAAGGCAAACCAATTGGTTTTTCTCTTCTTCACTCTTCCCTCCCCTTTCCTAGAACCAAACATAGCATAACTGGGATCAATACTGATATCCTGTTACTTGTTGCATATGATGGTAATACCAACCTTTTTAAAATCCCCATTCTTAATCAGTTCAATACTGTTCCAGCATTTTGGTGATACGCGATTTTTATTCAATACTGTTAGGGATGGCAATGAGGCGGTGCCAGGGGCGGACCTACATTGTGGGTTGAGGGTTCACGGGACCCCGTTAGTCTCGGCAAAAAATCTGTATATATATNACGGGACAAGTGGTTGCATTGGGCACTTAAATTCCCTTCTTTGCTGATGATGCAAGTTCGAAACCCATTTGCAGCCTTTTTTGCTCCTTTTAGCTTTTTCCCTCCTTTCTATCTACTCCTTTTAGCTTTTTCCCTCCTTTCTATTTTTATTCTTTGAGTACAATGCAATTTATATTTAATAGCAAATTGCTTTATTTTTTTACTTTTGTCTTTTTTTTTTTTTGAATTCACTTATAATTTAGTGTTAATATATAATAGTCAACTTAATTAATATTTTAGTTCTTTGAATACAATGTAATTTATTTTTAATAGCAAATTGCTTTATTTTTTACTTTTATCTTCTTTTTTTGAATTCAATTATAGTTTAGTACTAGTACATAATAGTCAACCTAATTAATTTTATTCTTTTCCAAATTCATCCCTTAAAATTGAAATCATCAAATTGCAACTTATCGGTCCACAAATGGAAAAATACATATCATTTTGCGACAACCTTCTTCAACAATCTGACTCGGCAATGACAACTAATAGTTTGAGACTCTTTTTCAGTCCTTTTAGTATTACCATACTCTTAATCTTGATTTCTTTAGTAAGTCTTTGATAATTTGAAGTTTGAACGCCCTTTTGATCGCTGGACCTTTTTATTTATTTATTAAAAACTAGAATTTTAAAGTATGAAACATGCTTAATCAAACACCTTCCCTTCCCATAGCACCGAATATATATATATATTCGGTGCTTTCTTTTTCTTTAGAACTTTTTTTTGTTAATACTTGGATGATAAGTCATCATAATCATTAAGTTTTCAATGAGTTGCACGTCGAATTTTATCGCTAGTGACTAGCATACAGTGGTGCCCCCGTCGTGCTCAAATCCTAGGTCTGCCTTTGGGCAGTGTGGGGCGGGTTTAGACACATGCGAGGCAGTGCGAGTTTAAACATATGCGATTACTGATATTTGTGGGTTTAAACATATGCGATTGCGGGTTTAAAAAGGGTATGTGGGTTTAAGTACAACTATATATACTGATATTTGTTTTGCTCTTTTTGCAAGTGACCCTTCAACTTTTTTACTCTTGCTTTCTGTAGTCCCTTTTGTTGTTTGTCTTACGGCTATTGTGTTTTTACGTGAAATTGCACCTTCGTCCCCAATAGCTGAAGAGAAAGAGGCAGTGAAATGTTTTGGTGTTATTAATGTTGTTTTTATAGCGGTTTATTTGTTAGCTTTTGACATTTCAGGGCCTCATGGTAATTTTTTTCGCAAATATTTGTTATTCTTCTAATCCTATTAGCATCGCCTATTTTCATTCCTCTGTATTCATTGTCCGTTGTGCACTAGCGAGTCTTCTTTATATTGTCGTAGGTGTAGTGGCTGCAGTTTGGGATGATAGATTAAGGGCATGTCCTCGGGTGGGCCAGAGTGTGGGGTCGGGGTTAGGGAGTGGGATGGGAGGTAGGGGAGGTAAAGGGGGCAAGGGAGCCTATAAGTTGAGAATCGGGTCATGGAACATAGGTTCACTAATGAGTAAGTCTATAGAGTTGGCAAAGATCCTTCAGAAGAGGAAGATTAATATAGCATGTGTCCAAGAGACTAGGTGGGTTGGATCGAGGGCGAAAAATGCGGATGGGTATAAGTTGTGGTACTCTGGAGTCCGGAGAGGTAAGAATGGAGTGGGTATCCTGGTAGATAGCCATCTTAGAGAGTTGGTGGTAGAGGTTAGGCGGGTGAATGATAGGCTAATGACTATTAAATTGGTGGTGGGTGAGTGTACTTTAAATGTCATTAGTGCGTACGCGCTGCAAGCGGGCTTGGATGAGGAGATTAAAAGGCGCTTTTGGGAGGGGTTGGATGACGTCGTTCGTAGTATTCCGCCTTCCGAGAGGTTATTCATAGGAGGAGATTTCAATGGTCATATTGGGTCGTCGGCAGGTGGTAATACTGAGGTGCATGGCGGCTTTGGTTTCGGGGAGCGGAACGAAGGGGGCACTTCGCTGTTGGACTTTGCCAAGGCATTCGATCTAGTGATTGCGAACTCATGTTTTCCGAAGCGGGAGGAGCACTTGGTTACTTACCAAAGTTCG